CCTGCGGGCTCAGGCAATCCACTCACCTCAGCCTCCCAAAGGCGCGGGATTCCAGGCTGAGCCACCGAGCCCGGCTTAATTTCTCTATTTTTAACAGTTTTCTTCCCTTTCCATCCCCTTCAGATATTTCCTAGCTAACTCCTCCCACTTTTTCAGGTTCCTATCTTAATCGATCTCCTCTAGGAAGTCTTTGATGCTTAGTTTCTAAGTGTTTTGGTTATGCAGTCCCACAGGACCCTGTATTTTCTCTATAATAACCCTTATGACCACCTATTTATTTTTTAAAAATCTATTTTACAGATGTGGGGTATAATTCTGGGTTAGGTATACAAATGTTCATTATGGAGGTACCCTTGTTGATAAGGTATGCCCCCACATGACCACCTATTTAATTGTCAGCTTCTTTTGCTAGAATCCTTGAAGTTGGGGGCCTGCTTATATCTATTTCCATTGCCTGGTGCAAAATCCTATATGTAATAAGTATACCACAAGTGTTTGTTGAATAAATTTAAAAGTTATATTTCTTTCTTTTTTTTTTTTTTGAGTTGGAGTCTCACTCTGTCGCCCAGACTGCAGTGCAGTGGCCGCTCCTGGCCACCGCAGCCTCGACCTGCTGGGCTCCGGCGATCCTTCCGCCTCAGCCTTCCAAGTAGCCGGAATTACAGGCATGCGCTACCACGCCCGGCTGATTTGTTTTTTTATTTATTGTAGAGATGAGGTCTCGCTGCCCAGGCGGGTCTTGAACCTGCGGGCTCAGGCAATCCACTCATCTCAGCCTCCCAAAGGCGCGGGATTACAGGCTGAGCCACCGAGCCCGGCAAGTTATATTCCTTAACGATTAAAATTATTCTCAGGTAATTTATTTGGGAATATTTAGTGAAACAAAATAATAGTGTACACACTTGTAGAGTTTAATCAGTAAGAAAAAGATACCAAGCTGGATGTACCTAAGTGCTTATTTCTTTTATAATTCTTATATTCTACCTATGAAAAGAGAAATGATAATCTTAGTAGATCTTGGTTTCTTGCAACCACAAGATAGAAAACTATTAGACACCACTATCTACTTAAATTTTTTCTTCCTTCCTTTCTTTTTTTTTTTTGAGGACACACCTTTCTATATTGCCTAGGATCCTCTTGAACTGCTCCTGGCATCAAGCAATCCTCCTGTCTTGGTCTCCCAAAGTGCTAGAATTTATAGGTGTGAGCTACCGAGCCCAGTCCCACAATCCACTTTTAAAAACTAAAATCTGCTTCTGCAGATATAAAAAAAAAAGCATGTTGTTCTTCTTTGACTGAATATTCCTAAACCAAAAAGTCATTTGGGAATTGCCTTTAAAAGCAAGAAAGTTGGTAGTTTTTCCTCTAATTATCTCATATCTGGATAACTATAATTGTCTAACAGGTCAATGGAGCAAGGTTTTTTTTTTCTCCTTTCAGAAGGGAGGGAGATGGCTGTTTCTCTCTTGTATAGAGCAGAAGAAAATCTATCTCTATTCCTCACCTATGATATAGACTATGAAGCTTGTATGGATAGGACATTTGACCTGGCTTTCAGAAAGTAGCCCCTGGAGTAAGAATCAAGAGTGTGGGGAACAAAGTGGTCATTATTTGCTTTAAATAATTAATGATAATCTGTCTCAGATCCAGAACACCTCATGTATACATTTCAGGATAAAATTAGCAAAGATGAATATTAAAGATCTAACATGTATCACAGAGTTAGTTGTATTCTATAGTTCAGATTATATCTTTCTATCATCGTATAAGTGATATAATTCTACTATGGTATATATCTAAAATATTCTCTGAATACAAAATTTTAATTGTCTTTCTAATTACCACCTAGAAATTTCCAAACTATTCATGGTTTATAGCCACCTGAATTGAAAATGGCTAACTTTTAAAGTGTCAAGGACAATAATCTCAAATCATATGATTTGAGAATAACAAACGAATCAGATGATTAATCCATGCCATTAGGCTTACTTTACAGGTGGGGAAAAGGTTCTGAAGGATTACATGAATTGCTCAAAACCAGGAATTCATCTCTGGGGGGGTTAGGATTAGAATCCAGCTTTCCTGATCCATAGTCCTGGGTTCTTTCGATTGACAGTATACTGACAAATCATCAGTCTTATGATGCTGGTGTAAATTTAATCTGAAAGCAGAAAATCCATTACTTAACAGAAGCCCACATTGTTCTTTGAATTGTAAAACAAAGTAAGTCATGCTTAAGTTAAATGGAATCTTCCCCAGTGTCTTAATTCATCTTACAATTTCAATTGTGATTTCTTGAAAAGATTTTTTTCCCCCTAACACCATTGCTAGATTTTCCTTTGTTATCATGTTCTCATCTACCTATAGCGGTTGACCCACATCTCTGACAGAAAGTTGAATAGATGCAAAAAGAGGCACTAATAACCAGATATTCAAAGTCAATTTGGAGTATACAAATTATCCTGTAAGCTTAGTAAGAAACTACTGAACACCTTTCCAAATACATGGGACCCTAAAAGAGGTGTATGGGAAAGTGAGCTGCCCAGCACCCGGTCATGTAATAGACTGAAAGATCTTCACAGTCATTTTGTCACAGGAACTACTATCTAAAACAACACTGGTTTCAAACTTCGATTTAGCATCAGTCACCCATCAGTTTGTTTAAAATGGATGCCAAGGTCCCAACCTGGAGATTCTGATTCCGATGCTCTGGGGCAGGGCCCAAGAAATCTGTATGTTAAGAAGCCCCAGCCGGGCTCGGTGGCTCAGCCTGTCATCCTGCGCCTTTGGGAGGCTGAGGTGAGTGGATTGCCTGAGCCCGCGGGTTCGAGACCCGCCTGGGCAGCGAGACCTCATCTCTACAATAAATCAAAAAGTCAGCCAGGCGTGGTGGCGCATGCCTGTAATTCCGGCTACTCGGAAGGCTGAGGTGGAAGGATCGCCGGAGCCCAGCAGGTCGAGGCTGCGGTGGCCGGGAGCGGCCACTGCACTCCAGTCCGGGCAACCGAGTGAGCCTCCAACTCAAAAAAAAAAAAAAAAAAGAAGCCCCTTCAAGTGGTTCTGGTGCACAAAGAAGTAAGAGAACCTCTAGTATAGCCCCCTCCCCCAGTATACCCCCAGACATAAACGTGTGTCACGCTCGAGCAAGGTACCACTTTTCATCAGAACTTTTCATCCAAACCTATCACACTCGAAGTACCCAGGTACCTCCAGAAGCACAGATTCCTACCGGAGTTTCCCAACCCCGGAAAGAAAAAGAGAAAGGCGAACAACACTGCTGAATCATTTCGGCTGCTCCCAATTTTGAGCTCACGCTATGCTTTGCAATCTCTAAGGGCAGACTTGTCAGGAAGAAATCTTAATTTCGTCACAGATGCTCCGCACAAGGCCCTCGGCCTTCCTACCATCACAGGGTAGGAGGAAATACCAGGTTGGGAGAAGAGGAAGACCGGGACTGGAAGATCCTCTGGTCTGGCGCCCTCCCCTCCACCTCTCAGCCTTCCTCCCCTCTCTCCAGTGACCTTGTCAGGACTCCATGTCCAGGTCGCTCACTTTCTCAATCCCGCCACACTCGCTGCTCACCCCGCTCTCAAGAAGGCGCCAGTTCTGGGTTCGCTCCCGGTTCCCCGAGGTCGGCTCCGGCCAAAAGCACCCCCGCCCCCACACCCCATCTCTCATTACCGCCCCACCAGCGGGTCTCCCTCTCTCAAACGATTCCTCCACAAGCTTTTGCTTCATCTCGCCGGCTCGATGTTCCTTTACTCGACAGTACCCCACGCCTTGTCTTCCCACCCCTAGTCCCCCTCCACCCCAACCCTCGAGGTCGGGCCTGAGCCCGGCGAATGTACCTCGCTCCCTTCATCCCTGGCACCGCCCTCTCATTCCCGCGGCCCTCGACTCTCCCAGAGTCCTTGCAGCCTGGCCATGCGCTGCCTCACTTCTTCCCGCCTCGAGGTCGGGTGCGGGTTCACAACACCCCCCCCCCCATGCTTTTCTTACCAAGAGCAAGAAACCCCTCACGATCCAACCGGTTTCTGATGCCCGCCCGCGTGCCCCGTCCAACCGGCTTCTCCTCGTCCCGCCCACAGCCGTCTCAGCCAATCAGAAACTAGCGTCCGGCGCGCGGGCGTGGTGCCGGCCCGGTGAGTGCGTGCGTGTGCGCGGTGGGTGGGACTGCCCGGAGCGGGTCCCTGATTGGCTGGAGCCACGCGGCCCCGGCTGTTTAGCGAAAGCGCGGCCTCTGGGCTTCTAACCAGGGCTGTGGGCGCCTCAGATTTCTTTTGCCCTTTCCCCCTCGGGTCCCGGGATCAGCACCGCGAACGCCGTGTCCCGAGCGCTACCGGGAGGGGACGGGATGAGGGGTTTCCACAGCGGCGGGTCCTCAGAGGCTGCGGGTGAAAGGGGAACGCGAGCTCGCCCTTGGGGCCGCCGGCCTTGCTGGACCGCTAAGCCTCGACCGGCTCCGCTCCGTCGGCGGTTGTCCGCCGTGAGCGTGCCTCTCCTGTGGGACCCCTCCTGGGCCTTATACTCCGGCGGGAGGCAGCTATGTGCTGCAAGCACCGGGTCGCGGGGACCGCATCCTCACCCACCCTGGGAGGCTTCTGTCAGGAAGGAAGTGTCACAGGCCCCGCGAGACAGCGAGCTTCTGGGACCGGGCTCCTAATGTGTTCGTAGAGTCGGTCATCAGTAGCAATCCGGCGAATGGATGCAGAGCATCGACGACTGTACCGTGTGTCGGTGATTAAATCAGTCCCAATATAACCCCAGAGCGAGGTAGGCTACCAAGTGCTCTGTCACACAATTAGGAACTGTCTCGGGCTCCGGATTCGGAAAGCCTGTTGCCTCATAATTGAGACACCTGTAGGAAACATTTCGTGCTGTGGATGATTAGGCACTTCATATTTTGGTTAAACGGTGTCTTTCAGCTCCTCAAAGGCACGCGTTTTGTCCGGATGATCCGGCTGTCTCCTTGAACAATGTGTTTGTGCTCAGTAGGAACTCAGTGATGGTAAATGAAGAAAAATATAACGGCTGCAATAACGGAGGGCTTAAAAGACAAGTAGGGATAACCGGAGACTCGTTAGGATGAGCCAGACTGACTTCAGTATGAAGGTAAACTTCAAGTCATTAGTCCTCTGATTCCGGAAATGCAAAGACTGAGAGCAGCAATGACCTTAGCAAATTTATTCCTGAAGGGAATTTATGTAAGTCAAAATAATGCTAGCTAATTTGATAACTTCCCAAGAATGTGATTTGGGGTCAGGCAGACCTGAGTGCAAGTCATAGGTTGGCAACATACTAACACCTGACCTTGGGCTTACGGTCTCAAAACCTCACTTTTTTCACTTGTAAAATTGGGTTTACAGTAGGGATGGTTAATGAAAAAATACATGTAGAGTGTACTCCGGGGCCTAGCATGAAAAGTGTTAACTATTCCTTTAAAAATTACTGTGCTGGCCAGACATGGAAGCTCACGCCTGTGACCCTAGCACATAGGGAGGCCAAGACTGGAGGATTGTTTGAACCTAGGGGTTTGAATCTGGCCTGTAACATAGCGAGACCTCGTCTCTACAAAAAAAACAAAGCCAAAATGATCCGGGCACAGTGGCACGCACATGTAGTCCCAGTTACTTGGGAGGGTGAGGCAGGGGGATCACTTGAGCCCAGGAGTTCAAGGCTGCAGTGAGCTATGATCATGCCGCTGCACTCCAGCCTGGGCGACAGAGTGAGACCCTGTCTCAAAAAAAGAAAAGAAAAAGGTACATCTTTTGACAAAAATGTAACAGCCCTGTCAGTTTGAGTTAAGGGAGACAGCATGAACAGAGGCAGTGTAGAAGTGGAAAGGGAGTGATTTCTTTCTTTCCCACCATAAGGGTTATAGCTGACACTTCTATACTAAATCTAGGTTAACGAGAGAAAAGCATAACAAATTTGCCATACTTGACACGGGAGCCTTCAGAGTGAAGACCCAAAGATGCAGGGGAAAGCTATCTGATTTTATGCTTAGGTTCAATGAATCAAGAATAGCCATGTAGAAAAGTGATTGAACAAACAGATTATGAGCTAAAGGTAATAGACCGAATGGGGAAACCTAGCAAGGCATGTCTGTTCAGATTCGTGGTCTCTGTTATACCATTTCTTTTTCCTTAATATGGGGCAAGACCCTTTCTGGAATGGAGGTCTTATGACCCACTGTAAAAAAAAAAAAAAAGGTCAGAGAATTTCTTTATGGCCAGCACTTAAAAAGGTAAAGAAAGGCTAGAGTGTTATTTTTGGTTTTATATCTGGTTTGGGGGAAAAGGGGTTGTGGTTTCTATGACTAACCTTGGGGAAAAGAAATTCTAATTTCTATTATTTGCCTTGGTGGGAGAATGAGCGGTATGAGATAGAACGGCAGGAAAAAGAAAGAACCTTTGCTTCTGAGACCTTCACTCTGGAGTATCATTTTCTGAGCCAGGAAAGAATAAGTACCAGGAAATTAGATAACAGTAGTGACATAGATATTTCCTCAATTGCAAAATGATACATCTTTTTTTGGGGAGGGGGTTGGAGTCTCACTCTGTCGCCCAGACTGGAGTGCAGTGGCCGCTCCCGGCCACCACAGCCTCGACCTGCGGGGCTCCGACGATCCTACTGCCTCAGCCTTCCAAGTAGCGTGAACTACAGGCGCGTGCTACCACACCCAGCTGATTTTTGATTTATTGTAGAGATGAGGTCTCGCCAAATTGCCCAGGCGGGTCTCGAACCCGCGGGCTCAGGCAATCCGCTCACCTCAGCCTCCCAAAGGCGCAGGATTACAGGGTGAGCCACCGAGCCCGGCGGATACATTTTTTTTTTTTTTTTTTTTTTTTTTTGAGTTGGAGTCTCGCTCTGTCGCCCAGACTGGAGTGCAGTGGCCCCTCCTGGCTACCGCAGCCTCCGGCGATCCTTCCGCCTCAGCCTTCCAAGTAACCGGAATTACAGGCACGCGCTACCACGCCCGGCTGATTTTTTGATTTATTGTAGAGATGAGGTCTCGCTGCCCAGGCGGGTCTCGAACCCGCGGGCTCAGGCAATCCACTCACCTCAGCCTCCCAAAGGCGCGGGATTACAGGCTAAGCCACCGAGCCCGGCAGATACATCATTTTTAAAAAGTAAATTTTAATTGGGATTGGTTGCATAATTCAGTCAGTCTATTAGTATGTGATTGAAATGGTGTTAGGAATCAAGCCTGAAACAAATCAACTTTTGAAATTTTGAAATTGTTTAGAAAGGCTGATGAGTTGATAAACCAACCTCACTTCCTCATTCTTTCAAAAGAAGGCACAGATGCATTTCCTTCCCTTCAGGATTGTAGGTGTATAACAGCCTTTGTTTGGCTATGAGTGTTGTAATGGGACAGCATCCGGTGTGCCAGGCCCTTAAATGAATCTACTGGGTTGGATATAGTTTCTTTTCCAGATAGTCAGACCTTCAACTGATTGCTTTATGACAGAGACAGAGTATATGTATTTAGAAAAGGTTTGAAACAATACATTCAAACTTTTTTCCTAAGGATGTAGACTCAATGTTAGATATTGAAGGGGCCTTAAAGCTCATCTAGTCCACTTCCTTTCTTTTTATGAAAATACAGACTTTGAGCATTTAAGTGGTATTTTGGATACGCACACTTACAGGCAGAATCTGAATAATAGCCCTGCTGAGAACTAGCCCAGTGCTCTGTCTGCTTGCTTACCTCTCCAGGTCATGGAATCAGACATCTTAGTATTTTAGTGCAGTCTAAAACTAAAACCTTTAATAAAAGTGACCAGGCAATTTTCAGCCTTCTTTTGACCCTAATCATATGTATGATAAAGTTATTGATTTAAACAGTTATGTAATATGAACAATGCTATTAATGTTAGGTTTGATTAAAATACAGCTGTAACTTATTTTACTTAGCCTTAGGACCATTGGGACAAAATATGAACAATTAAAGCAAGATAATTTGTAAATAAAAATTTGTTTAAGAGCTATGGTATGGCCTTGTTTCTGGTTTTGTTTTGATCTATTTTAAAATGTGTGTTAAGGTATATAATATTAACTTAAAATCCTCATTTAATTTGTCCCACAGCATCCATTCTAGAAATAGATTCAAGAATTGTTGCTCTTGTACAATATGTCTTTTCTTTTCTGCGCCATGTAAATATTTAACTGTTTCAGAGTACAAAGACTCATGACTGCCATATTTGTGAGGAAGTTGTATTTTGTTTTTCAAGTGCTGACAGGGAGTAGAAGGTGAAATCTGTTCCATAGTGAGATGTTTTTAAGTTTTCACAATATCACTAATGGCCCCAGTCTCATTCTGGGAAACTTGAACTCCTTGCAAATTCTAACAAGTTTCCATTTTACCCAAGCTTAATATAAACCAGGGACAACATCTGTTTGTGCCACATTATTTGAGGTTCTGTTGTTTATTTGTGTGATAAATTATCTCTTTCTAATTAGTATGTAGAAACCAAATTCTTGGTAAATGATGATGCTAAACATCTGAAACAATCAGATGATTCAGAAGACTTTTGTGAAGATTATTCTGCTATACTTTATCCCATATCATATTATTAGAAAACAACAGTGACAAACTTACCCTTTTCATAATATGGACATTATAATTGGCAATAAATATACACTGTGTATTACTCTATTCTCCATATTGTATATAATTATACTTCATTTTGAAGTATAATTGATATAGAAGACAAAAAATTATTTGGGTTCTCAAGTATTAAACCAACCCACCTCTAGTTTATTAAAGAAGGAAAGGCAGCACAAGAAGTATATCTGCTCTGTTATTTTCCCCTCTTCAAGAGTCTCTGTGACTTCTCACGTTCCAAGCAGCTGTCTACACATGATCATATCTACTATAAGGGAAATAGATCTAAAGTCAAATGTCTGTTTAGGCTGAGGCCCAACTTACAGCTGTATTACCCTATTCTTGATATTCTTGATATCCGTCTTAACCATGTGATCTTTGTGGAACTTTGTTTAGGACAAAGATTAAGGCTTTTGAGAAAATTGGTGATATCTAAGGTATTTTTATGCCACAGTTAGGAGTCATCATTAGCAATTATTGAACATGTACATCGTGTTGGATACCTG